GCTATACTGGTTGTGACACAAACATAGATAAAGAAGAGATCTGTGCTATACTGGATGTGACACAAACATACATAAAGAAGAGATCTGTGCTATCCTAGATGTGACACAAACATACATAAAGAAGAGATCTGTGTTGTACTGGATGTGACACAAACATATATAAAGAAGAATTCTGTGCTATACTGGATGTTACACAAACATACATAAAGAAGATATCTTTACTCTACTGGATTTGACACAAACATACATAAAGAAGAGATCTGTGCTATCCTAGATTTGACACAAACATACATAAAGAAGAAATCTGTGTTGTACTGGATGTGACACTAACATACATAAAGAAGAGATCTGTGCTATACTAAATGTGACACAAACATACATAAAGAAGATATCTTTGCTGTACTGGATGTCACACAAACATACATAAAGAAGAGATCTGTGCTATACTGGATGTGACATAAACACTCATAAAGAAGAGATCTGTATTGTATTGGATGTGACACAAACATACATAAAGAAGAGATCTGTGCTATACTAAATGTGACACAAACATACATAAAAAAGAGATCTGTGCTATACTGGATGTCACACAAACATACATAAAGAAGCGATCTGTGCTATACTGGATGTGACACAAACACTCATAAAGAAGAGATCTGTGTTGTACTGGATGTCACACAAACATACATAAAGAAAAGATCTGTTCTAAACTGGATGTGACACAAACATACACAAAGAAAAGATCTGTGCTATACTGGATGTGACACAAACATAGATAAAGAAGATATCTGTGCTATACTGGATGTGACACAAACATACATAAAGAAGAGATCTGTGCTATCCTAGATGTGACACAAACATACATAAAGAAGAGATCTGTGTTGTACTGGATGTGACACAAACATACATAAAGAAGAATTCTGTGCTATACTGGATGTTACACAAACATACATAAAGAAGATATCTTTACTCTACTGGATTTGACACAGACATACATAAAGAAGAGATCTGTGCTATCCTAGATGTGACACAAACATACATAAAGAAGAGATCTGTGCTATACTGGATGTGACACAAACATGCATAAAGAAGAGATCTGTGCTATACTTTTTCCATCTGCCTCAAAGTGTCCACGAGGCATTCTGCAAATATGTTCACAGGTAAATAAATACATTTTTTTTTTACTTGATCAGAATGATCCACTTATTGGCTATGATTTTTGATTCGTGAAAATAATATGTTTGATATATCAAATTCAAGTGCAGTATGAGATGAGGCTGAGGGAGAGCTAGCAGAAGATGTTTTGAAGGAGTCACTGACTGCTTGAAATCTCACATCATCACAACATACTAAGCAATGAGTCCGCCCTTGCTCGGCTACTTAGCACCTGTTAAAATGCGACACCTGGAGGCACAAAATAAACTTAGACAAAAGAAGAAGAAAATGCCAGAGGGATATTGTGAGGTGTTCTGCTATTTGGGAATTTATTTAAACAGGGTATGATTTTATGAAGTTCTAAAATTTTTTAGCTCCGCCCGACACTTCCCTTCTCTAACCTCCCACTCCCCCCCCCCCCCCCCCCCCCCCCCCCCCCCCCCCCCCCCCCCCCCCCCCCCCCCCCCCAAAAAAAAAAAAAACTCGCCCTGAACAAATTCGTTCTATTACTTCTGTTTATGCCGATGACAGAAGTCAAGAAAAGAATAGGAATGGCCAAAAACATTTTCAACAACATGCAAAAGTTACTGACATCAAGAGAAATAAGCAATGCATTCAAAATGAGAATTGTCAAATGTTATGTATTCTCAACCTTACTGTACGGCACAGAGACATGGACAATCAACAAACAACTGGAAAATCGTATCAATTCTTTGGAGGTGTGGATATACAAAAGATTAGGTCGTATTTCATGGAAACAAAAGCTATCAATTACAGAGGTACTGAGGAAATTGGGAATGAAAAGAGAGTTGCTAGGTGAAATAAAAAAGAGAAGTGAAATATTTTGGTCACATTAAAAGACATAACAGTATTGTAAAGATCATCCTAGAGGGAAAGGTTCAAGGTAGGCGAGCAAGAGGCAGACAGCGTTACAAGTGGGAGGATAACATAAAGAGATGGACGAACAGCAGTATGAGCGAGTGTACATCAAGGGCAAGAGACATGGCTTGTTGGAGATCCATTGCAGCCAACCTTCATTGTGGAGACGGCACCTGATTGATTGATGCTGATGACACAGTCTTGATAGTCAGAAAGAACTACAGGAAAAGATAGACATTGTGGTGTTCGAAAGTGGAAGAATGGGTTTCAGTTTAAAGAGGGGGAAGATAGAAGTAATGGTGGTATCAAAGAAACAAATTATTCCTAATTGTGTAATTAAAGTCAATAGTGTTATTTTAGGACAAGAACAGAAATTTAAGTATCTGGGCACATGAATAACATCAGATGGAAGATGCATAACTGAGATAAGAAACAGAATAGGACAGGCAAAACCTGCATTTTGTCAAATGAAAAACATCTTGTGCAATGTATCCTTGTCATTGAGAATTAAAAAAAGAATTCTTGCTTGCTCCATACATCCCGTTTTAACATATGGCTGTGAACCCTGGACAATCGGCAGGCAGGCCAAACAATTTCTTGAGGCCTCAGAGATGTGGTTTTAAAGAAGAATGCTTTGAATTCCTTGGACAGCCAAAAAGAGCTACAAAAAGTTTTTTTGAAAGAGGCGGGAGCCCGTAGACAACTTATCACAGACATCAGAAGGAGACAGTCATCATTTTTCGGCCATGTTATGAGAAGAGGGAAAAAAGAACATGTCGTGACCACTGGAAAGATCTGTGGAAGGAGGGATAGAGGAAGACAACGAGACAAGATGCTTGACACTCTTGTTGCATGGCATGGAGGTGTGTCGGCATACGAAATAATACATGCTCAGGAGATCGCAGAATATGGAGATGCATGATCGCCCACGCCAGTCGGCAAGGCACCTGATGATGATGACTTCTGTTTAATAATCTCGTCTTCTTTCTCAAACACTTTTTCATAATTTAATTTTGTCGTGAAGTCTATCAGATACATATCTGACCCCTAAACAAAACATGTTTCTAATAACTGTCCTGTATCGACTGCTCATTTTGTAATAGATAATAAAATTTGTGGAAACACTGACTGACTCCATGATGTAGGCGATCGATAATACAACCCCAAATATGTTCTTATATTGTCCGTAGATTGAAAGTTCCTTTTCTATAATCATGGCTACAAAAATGACACAAACTGGCCCGTAACATACAACAAAAACTGATGAGATGACTATCACCATTTTGGACAACATCCGGTCGCGGATAAACATGGCCTCAGACTGTTTTGACGAAGCCAATCCCTGACGCCATCTTGCTTTCCCGTGAATCTTAATAACAAGCACAATTGTGGTAACTATGACAACAAGAAACGTTAAACAAGGGATAGAGACATTAGTAATGGCATAGGTGATGTTCTCTATAATTTGGCGATCACTGGTAGAATCAGTTTGCAGCACACTCCGATTGTTCTTGTCGTAAAAAGTCCAGGAAAAGCGATTGCAGTAGTAGATCGGGGAGACGCTGGCTATGTTGATGACGTAGATACAAGCTATTACCGCCGTGACACGTTTCCGTGTGATCATGGTCTTCACCTGTCATTGGTGATAGTATATTGGAAATAAAAGCTTGATGACATCTGAGTGCGAGTGTGTGTGTTCAGGGGGAGAGACAGGGATAGGTAGACATATATACAGATGGACAGAGAGAGAGAGAGAGAGAGAGAGAGAGAGAGAGAGAGAGAGAGAGAGAGAGAGAGTTTATAAGGAAAGAGCAGGAGAAATATGCCTAGATTGCTTGATTACTTCCAGAATTAGCAGGACATGTACATCCGGGCCACCCGCGATACATCAGACATATTTTAGAAAAACACATTCTATACACATTCCTTTTGAATTATGTGAGTGTAGTTTATATATATATCACATATTGTACCAACGGCGGTCTACTCAGCCTGTTTTAGGTTTACCTCATAAATGTTTTTAACGTGTGCAGCGTTCACATAGCTCTTCAGATTATATCGTTCTTGCACAAAACGGCTTGGAGTTACTCTCACTGTCCAATTTTCAAGCGATGTGTGTATTTTCTAACAGCTTTAGGTGCCTCTCGGTTACTCCTTCACCAAAGCGGGCGTGCATTGCTTGGCGTCTACGGTGTTCTTTGCACTTCTATTCGGCTAGTGACATGATAAAGGATTGGATCAATGTCAGAGAACTGGATGTAGCAATTACTGTAGAAAGTATTGCATAAAGCAGCAAACACAGCAGGAATTTTCAAGTAATCATATGTATTTAGGCCGGCTAGAGAGTATAGCAGACGTCGGAGGGAATCCTTCGTTGCAATAATATATAGACGACAGGCCAAGTAGGACACCTGTGGCTAAATATAATTTGAGTTATTGTGGCTGTTTTAGCACGAGAGATAGTGAGGTGCAAAGAAAGTCCGCTTCCACTAGTTTTGCTGTTGTTGCCCATTTGTCTTTCTAAATCTCGATGCTGGCGAGCCAACCCAGGTCGCCCGTCTCTCTTGGCGCTCTCTTGTTGCGCTTTCAATAAACTTACCTATAAAATGATACAGGGTTATCTATACTGACATTTGCTTAATGGTGGTCCTACTGTCTGGAAAGCGGCCATAATCGTGTTGCGATGATCCAGCTTCTCAAAGCCAACTAAACCATTCTCTCTAGACGTAGATGCTCGGTCTGTTCTGTTAAACTATTTGTTTGATCACAGAGATCACACACCACGGCCGCTTTATCTTAAAGTAGCTCACCGCCCAGGTGGACGACAGCAATCAATCTTTCGGCATGGTAATCAAAGTGAAGTAAAAAAAGAACTCTTTTCCAGGCATTCATTCATTCATTCAATCATTCATCAGACTTTTCATATAGTAGTAGACAAATTGTAGACAATATACTTGACTGCTTACCTTAAGAGGAAACGCAACACACAGACATCGTTCAGTAGAAATAAAAGCTGTGATACAGGCACTGATGCGAGCAAAAACAACATGTGGCCAGAAAGCGGTGATGTAGACGATTTCAAACGGATCAAAGGGAAAGAAGGGTAAGTCGTAGATCAATGGGTTGAGGAGGATGTTGTTCAAAAGAAGGGCCAGGAGACAGATCAGGTCAGCCACCGACAAGGCTGTGGAAAAAACAACAACATTGTTTAGAGTCGATTGTCAAGTGTGAAATCGTTGTACACCGGACATATTTCTGTCTGGCTTTCCAGCTTTCTTCCATTCTGACTTTTGTTTTCTTAGCTTATTTAATTATTTAGGTATTTGTTCCTTTTTGTTTCTTTCCCCTATTTGCTTTTTTCTCTATGTTTGTTTCTTCTTCTTCTTCTTCTTCTTCTTCTTCTTCTTCTTCTTCTTCTTCTTCTTCTTCTTCTTCTTCTTCTTCTTCTTCTTCTTCTTCTTCTTCTTCTTCTTCTTCTTCTTCTTCTTTTTCTTCTTCTTCTTCTCCTTCTTCTTCTTCTTCTTCTTCTTTTTCTTCTTATTTGATCAACATAATCATCATCATCGTCGTCGTCTTCTTCTTCTTTTTCTTCGTCTTCTTCTTCTTTTACTTCCTCACATTTCTTCTTCTTTTTCCTTTCTTCTTGTTTTACACATTCACATATTATAAAGATGAAAGAAAGAATACTGTTTAGACGTGTATGAATATCTTACACGTAATTAATTAGTGGGCAGCTTATGAAAGTGACGACAAAGAAGCAAAGCCGTTACTGAATGAGGTGCGATGAACAATAATATGCAGTCTAAAGAAAGTAAAGTCAGCTGGGTGCACCGAAATACAGGCAGAACTAGTTTAGACAGGAGGAGAGTTCAGCGTCCAGAACTACCTTGCATTGTGTATCGTGGATCTGGAACATCGCCATTTGGCCTCAAGCGTGGAGAAGAAAAATCTACATCTCTCTCCCAAAGAAATAGCATCTGATCTGGAGGGAAAATTAGCACTATTTTAACAGGTGATAAGTAGCCGAGCCAGGGCGCCCTCGTTGCTTAGTATGTTGTGATAGTGTGAGGTTACAAGCAGTCAGTGACTCCTTCAAAACATGTTCATCTAGGTCTCCCTCAGCCTTATCTCATAATGCAATTGTGTTTAATATTTCAAATATATTATATTCACTTATCGATATTCATAGACAATGAGTGGATAATTCTGATAAACTAAAAATTAGCTAACTAAGGAAAAAAGAGCAAAAACTCCCCCTCCCGAGTCTACCCCCATAGCAGGAAGTGGAGGTCACTTCCGGTTGGTTCATTTTTGGAAAAGAGGTCAAACTGAAGTAGGGCTATTAAAAAAATTTTAAAACTTTAAAAAACATTTTTAAATTAAAAAAATACAGTTGCAAATTTAAGGCTGTCATGAAGAGCTTATATGACAAAAGGCGGTTGTCAGGTATAGCTAGCAAAAAAGCAGAAGAGTATCTGCAAATGGTTGCATGACTTATATATAGTAGAAAACACGAAAAATTATAGCAAAGGAGCGGGTGTCGAATGATAGTTTTAGGTGCCGGCGACTCTGTGAGGGAGTCAAGTTGCCATGTCAGTTCTATTTCTTTGTTAGCCTGTTTTACCCTCTGTAACCTATGTTAGGCATGCGAAATATGCTAGTAGAGCTCCTCTGTACTACTCAAGGCTTTTTGGGAAAAAAACTCGTGTCAGTTACTCACTACAGGGTTTTTCAAAAGGTTCCGATATTCTTTAAAAGGTGTCCATTACAGTCACGCTAAACACGCTGCCTAAAAAACGTGCTGTTACTGTGTACCACCATAAACAAGTACTATTTATAATAATTTCTGTTTCTGTTCATTTTGAAAATGAGACAGTTACTACGATTGTAATCATTTGGTTGCTTGAGCAATGACACTAGATAAAAAAAATCATACCAATAACGTTCTGGGCCCGACCTTTTGCCACTTTATCAGGTTTTGCCAGCTTCCTAATCTTATTAGATTCAAGCACATGAACCTTTATGGTATTGTGTTAGTTTCAGTATTTATTATCATGTCATATTTTGTGCAGTTATGATACAAACAGTCACTATGATGTTAAAGTTCTCTTCTTGTTTGTGTGTCAGGCAGTGGTCTTCTGCAAAACCAGTTCATCTATTTCTTCAGTGTCAACTCTGTACAATTATGTCCATATAAGTAACAGAGTGATGGTGAGAGGACACATTTTAGTCTGACACTTGATGTGATGGCGAACCAATCTGGCATCCGCCTGCCCTCCTCCTTTCCTTTGAGGGACTTTAGGGATTTGCTGCGGGGGGGGGGGGGGGGGGTGTCTAGGTGTGGACCAGCTATCTTTAATAGGATAACGATTCTTTTACTTTTACTTGACTAAAATTATCAAAGAATCCCTTACCAAACAGACTAATGTTAACGGTGTCCCTAAAACCCTGCTTGATAAAACAAATAATGTTAACGATGTTTGTTGCTGTCCCGATGACATCGATGAACTGGCAGATGTAACAGAAGTTAATGGTCAGCAGAACAACCCGAAGGTCGTCGCTAATTATTTCATCCTCTGGAACAGTGTTGTCCACCGCTGTTTGATTGACCTTCGCCATGTCAGAAGCAGGCTCACGTGCGAGGTGCACAAGAAAGAAAAATAACCGGGTTTTATTTGTTTCCTAGCTGAGGTGCTCATGACAAGGAATAGCAATTTGTTAGACATTGTAACGATTGTTAAGTGCTATTTAATTTAACATTAAGGTGCTGAACCCGGTAATGCAACAGTCTGTAGGTCAGTCAGTAAAAGGAAAGAGTAATTTTATTAGTGAAAGAAAACTGCCTAATTTAGCTAGTGAAAATAAAGAGTAAAATTAGTTGACACAGACTTCAAAAAGTAAGTAACTGGTTTAAAACAGTGATTAAAAGTTTTACGCTAGCCTGAAGCTGAAATATCATTATAGGCTGTGACACTTCAAAGAAATAGGTAATGAGTTTGAACTTCTTTGAGACACCACTAGTTTGTTTCATTAAAACAAAAGTTTCTCACACAAAGAGAGCACGGACAAATGTAGAAACGTAATGATGGTACGTTATAAGCAATGAAAGACGTCAACAACAGCGATTCCAATTTTAATTTTAAAAGTAAATGAAAGTCAGTTATTGTTGGAATACAGAGTTAGTTTCTTTTCAAGTTATTCGTTATAACAGCCCGGCTCTGTCATTTAGAAAATTAGTGAACAGCTTCATAATTCTCGATTACTAGAACTCGATTTTCGGTCCTGGTAGACAAATTCTGTTCTCGTTGCTTCCCGGTAAAAACACGAGACTAGAACAGTGCTGGAGTTTGGGGCCTCAGGACGTAGTAATCTCTAACAAAGCAGCAGAACGACTGCCCATGGCTTTCACGATGGAGAGGCTACGCAGTTAAAAAAAAGTATTTACTTGTGTTTAATCAAAAGCTGTATGTATAATTGTTATTCTCTCCCATGCGTGGGTGCTCGTGTGTGTATGAGGTAGTTATACACGATAAGGCGCTTGTGGATATATCGGTGTCTGTGTATGTATGAGTGCGTTCACATATTGGTGTTTGAGGTTTTATGGATGCCATTGTGAGTATGTATATGTATTCAGGAGTGGGTATGTTTGGGTGGGTGTGTATGAATGTAGGTGTGAGGGCGTAAGGCTGTTTGTGTGAACGTATATCTGTGTGAGTATGCATGAGAGTGCATGTGTGTGTGGATGCACGTATGTGAATGGATGTATGCTTTGTATGTACGAACGAACGAACTTTTTTTTCAAAGGGTCACAAATTGGGCACTCATCCACACTGCAGATGTTTTTTTTTTATTGATAAGCATGTTATATTCATATGATAATATGTATATTATGAATATTTAAAAAAAAAAATAGAAAAACAAAAAGAAAAACAAAAGTACTAAACTATGGGTGGCAAAATGCATGCACACACTAGCGCCCGCACACACCCCCCCCCCTCACCCACTGATTTAAACACACCCACCTACCTTTACAGACACATAAACACACCACCGTTCACCCACATACATACCTACATACCCACACAGACACACACATTTCACACACATACATACATACATATATACATACACACGCACACACAGACACACTCATAGAAACAAAGGCAGACACACACACAAACAGACATACGCCCACAGACTCAATCACACACGCAGAGACACACACAAACCGGCATACTCACACACGCAGACTCACACACACGGACACACCAGACACAGATACACGCACACAGACACACTCAGGGACACACAAACACACACACAATCCCAGACACACACACATGCTGATGCTGACGCAGACACATACACACAACCACCTTTAAGAGTGTAAGAGTTCATAGGTGTATAAAGGTGATTGTATATGTGTGTGCGTGTGTGCGTGTATATGAGATTTAGTGCTTATGTACGCATGACTGTGGATGCTTGTATGTGTCTGTAAGAGCAGGAGTGCATGTATGTATTTATGTAAGAGTATATTTATTAGTGTATGTGTGTATGTAAGCATTTGTATGGTTGTGCTTAGGCATATAGAAGTGTGTGTACATATATATAAGGAGTGTGTATGCTTTATTATACACGATGTGTGTATGCGTTATTTCATAATGTATATTTTTATATAACATGTAATATTGTGAAAATGCAGTTGTGGTCTGAAAAGTAAGTGCGTAAATGTGAAGAATGTAAAATGGGCCTGCGTGCCTATTTTGTAACCCTTTGAAAATAAAGTTTGATCGTTCGTGATTGTGTGTATCACTTCAGTCTTTGTCAGTCTATATCAATACCGTCTCCTCGTCAAGCATATAGGTGTTTATCTATGAATGTATGTGTGTATGGAATGTGTGTGTGCATGTATATCCATAAATGTATGTGTGTGCGTTTCTGTTTGTGCAGTTATATCTATGTATGTGCATGTGTTTTATGTTTGTGAATGTATGTAGATGCGTGAGTGTGTGTGTGTGTGTATGTATTACGAATATCTCTATGAGTGTGCATGTATGAAAACGTAGGAGTATGTATAAGTGTGTGTGAGTGTGTACGATTGTGTACGATTGTGTACGATTGTGTACACATGATGTGTGTATGCATTATTCTATAATTTATATCTCTTAATTATATCCTTAACAAGCATTATTGATAGCAGGCATACTGGTACTCTGAAAAATGAGTGCTTAGAAGGGCCGAATGTCAGACGGGTCTGCGTGCCCAGTTTGTAATCCTTTGAAAAAAAAGTTTGTTCGTTCGTTCGTTCTGAGTAAATTATGTGTTTCTTGCGTCTCTGTTCTTGTCTGTTGCAAATACAACTGTTGCTGGGCAAAGAAGAACATTTTAGTTATTGGAAGCACAGGAAGAAACGACTTTCACGATTTTTTGGATGTGTAGTCCTGGCAAGAATGTACATGTTTAGATTAATTACACATGGATACAGAATAGATCATCATCATCATACAATTCTACATTTTTCCGTTACATGTCGTCGGGAGATACAGTTTGTTGTCCACTCTTCGGTGTTTATCATTGCCTATCGACATCAGGTGAAGATGTATGCCGTCCTTTAAGCGAGCTGTGCTTGCTCTACTCGAAGACCCTAGTGCGGGCAGATGAGATTTTCTTGGGAGTAACGCCTGTTGTTGGTGGTCCGAATATGTACAAACATCCCCTGTTGTGGTATGTGACTTTTTGTAGTATGTTACGTTTATCAGACTCTTTTAGGCAAACATGGTTTAGGCTCAAAATGTTTCAAAAAGATCACCAGGAAAGCAAAATAAGACTCGGATTTGCTGCTGAAACTATACTGATACATAAACACACGTAAGAGTGGGAACTTTGGAGTGGAGCGTTTCTGTTGTTAGTCAGGAGATACATAAACATATACTTCAGTTATAATGATAAACCAGTGTTTGTGCAATGTCACATTCGCCAGATTACCCTCAGGAAATATAGTTTTTGTCGAAACTTAAAAATATAATTAAGCCCGAGGAGCACAACATTGGGCTGACAGCTACTGCTAGAACATGAGCATTGCACGAACACATGCGCTAGTGGCAACTTTAGAGGGGAAAACACAGACACTGGGAAAACCAAGGAGAAGATACACTGATATTTTACAAGGAAAAAGTTGTAGACATACATAAATAGCATGAAAAAAGGCATCAAATAGAAAGGAAAAAAAAAAAAAAAACAACAAAGTAAAAGTTGATAGTTGGTACAATATTGTAAATAATGACAGCAGCACGGTCACTGTTTCGAGGCGTGGCAAAGTTTCTGCTTCTGCCAGACGGTGGCCGTTGCATTTGTGCTACTTTTTTAGACTGAAAGGATATAGTTTCGTTGCCCAGCTACTGAGTTGAGTGCATGGTGCAACCACGTGAGCTGGGGATTTCATTTGGAATGTTTTTCGGCTGTGACCAAAGTGGTGTTGTGTTGTGAATTGTAGATTCAGGAAATGGCGCGTGACCTGTCGCAACAATTTTGATGGTGCCCTTATGTGATTAAAATTGATCGCGTGTGCAACTATTGATTTGTTGGTTACCTTACTACCGTCGATGATAAACTTCATTTCTAATATCGGACTGTTTGTGTTAGCACTTCTGATGGCTACCCTATGCTTTTAATGCTAGTGCATTTGCTGAGACAGCAGTCTGTCAACCTCTCTACATGGCACTGGCGTGAACATTCTTTGTGTTTTTCGTTGTCACAGGAGCGGAGCAACTATGGGGTGACCCGTTTGCTATGAAGCTAAAACTAACATAACATAAAATAACATAACAAATAATGACAATCTATATATAATAATGACAATCCTAGGGCGTGGCCAGCAAGTGCCACGAAGGTGAAAATTCAACAAATTTAGGACAATGCTGGCTTAGGTGATGCGGTTATTTGCACAGTTGTCAATTTTTGCCTGTTGTGCGGTTGGACCAGGACATTTTACATTCAGTAAATCATCTGGTTTGCCCATTTAGAGAGACTGGCGTGTGAGACCATACTTTACTTGCCATACACCAATAGAGAAGATGAACGTTGAAGGTAAGATAGACTAAGAAAAGATGGACAGATACCTTAGAGAAAGCCTACAAAAGCACATCGTGTCTTTGATCGAGGCGACCAGAAGAACACGAAGCAGTTGGTTACATCTTCACTCTTTTAAATGCATCCTATTTTAGTTTCATAATTTTCCTCTGAAATTTGTTCACGAATGCATTTAACTTTCGTTCCAAGTCCTTAGTGGTTCTCCAAATTTTAATTGTATTTTTTACACTGAAAAAACATTATAAATAAAAATCCGTAACTGTTTTAAATCTATATAATTTACAGTTTGATATTTTGTTGAGGCTATTTAAAGGTGCTGACGCCTGAACAATTCGAGTTTGAATTTCTTTCTGGACCTATTCACCTTTCCCAGCCCATCTACACACTTTCTCAGAGTGGTCTACGTCAGAGGGGTGTCACGTGTTACTGCTTTCTTCGAAAAGAGTATCTCGTGTAACCCAGGTTTCAGCTGTGGCTAGAGGGTGGTTTCGGTTAGGGCCAGTTCAACATGTTCTTGTGTCGTTGAAAGC